TTCGTTCCTCTATAGCGCTAGACCAATGCCTAGCACTGTACTTCCAATAGTTCTGTATCGCGGGTCGTATTTACACTAAAATGTTAGGTGTGACGTAACAATCCTTACGTTTTCCTTTTACCTTGTCTCTGTATAGTCCTTAGATACATGTATACGTGTATACAGGGTGTCCGAAAATAGGTGTAAGTCCTCGAAAGGGGTAATTCCTGAGGTGATTTGAAACAACTTTTTCCTTAGCGAAAAAGTTCTTCGAGGATTTGTTAACGAAATATCAACGAAAAACATCGACTAATCAGTGCCCAATCGGCAGACTCGCGCTCTGATTGGTCGGTGTTTTTCGTTAATATCTCGTTAACAAAGCCTCGGAGAACTTTTTCGACAAGGAAAGAATTGTTTCAAATCACCTCAGGAATCACCCCTTTCAAGGACTTACAACTATTTTGGGAAACCTTTATACACACGCGCACACACATCTAAGAAACCGTAAAAATAATATCTGATCCTCCAAACGTAAGATCAGTAATCCCCCCCCTCTCTCCCATCTCGTTCGACTTGTGACAACGGGTCCTCGCACACAAACACGCACACACACCCTCGTCGTATATCTCCTATCAGTTACTCGTTTAAATCGCAAATAAAAATCACTGGTTAATCGAGACAGAAAGAGAGAGAGAGAGAGAGAGAGAGACTCGAGACGAACAAAAAAAATTTGTTCGCGGTCTCCCTAATTGATAAAAAGGATAAATCCGTTAGAATAATATAAATACAGAGTTACACTTAGGGTCGTGATCCACGTGCGGCCTCTTCCAGTGCGCGAACTTTAAGCTCACGCTCGCGCTGTTGTCTAAAAAACACCCTTTGGTTAGTCCGTTACACTGTTCTCGACTTAAAGAAAAGCGTAAACTAGTGATTTTCGTGGCATCCAGTTACGGATTTCAAAAGACGAACCTTAGATACTCCTCGTGATGGGCGACCAGGGACGCGTGAGGCGGGAATCGATCACGTTCCATCATCAGGCGCTGCATTTGCTCGTGGTGGGCCGCCATGTCCGCGTACGGTCGTCCGAGCAGTTCCGCCGGATGTAACGCCAATCCTGGGTCACGTGGCATTAACCCCGGTCGAGGATAATTCGCGCCGGCCGCCGCTGCACACCATAGAAGATATTAGTCAAGACGTGTACACGATGATTAGGTTTTATAAACGCGTGTCCTCTTAAAAGACTATCAAGCCCTTGAATTTACAGATAATACGATGGGCATGCAATGACAGAGCGTGAGAACGGTTCGATCCTTTCGGTGGCCCGTCGTGTGTACGAATATCGGTGAACAATTATGATATATGTACAGTAAATCATCGATGAGAGGGTTCGAAGGGTCAACGACACTGAGTGTTCAGACGTCATCCCCCGAAATTATTTTATTATCTTTCTTGTTTGTATCTTTACCATTATCAAGTGTCTTAAAATCCAAATCGGACACAGTCCTTTCCTTGTGAGCGTCTGCGCACACGGCCCGAATGCACCGAAAGGAACGAACAACAGTTGCTGATAGTGGCAATCGTTCTTTTACTTTTGCGACGATGATGTATGACAATAATCGCGAACCTATATGTATATATATATATATACAGGGTGTCCCCAAAAATAAGGGACAATCCACAACACGCATATTCCTCGTGCGAATACAAATCGAAAAGTCCTTTACCGTTTTGTAATCCGAAGCTCCGTTTCCAAGATATTAGCAGTTAAACGAACTCCAATCAACTAAGCGGTTGGTCACACCTGCGCGCAGATACAGTGAAGAAGCCAAAGGCCAGTAACGTGTGGCCCACCGCTCAGTTGATTGGAGTTTGTTTAACTGCTAACATCTCGGAAACAGCTTCGGATTACAAAACGGTAAAGGATTTTTCGATTTGTATTCGCACGAGGAATACGCATGTTGCGGATTGTCCAATCTTTTCGGAACACCCTGTACATACACAGGTGTGTTCCGATGAATTAGGCCGTATGTTTTTATGCGCGCGGGTTTTTCAAAGGAATATATGTATATTCTACGTATCGCGAAACAGCACGCGTCGTGTTTTCGTTCGATCTAATACACGCATACACGCATACACGCATACAATAGACGACTCGCGTTACTCGCGCGCACTTGCACATTACTCGAAAGGAAGTAATTCAAGCGACTAAAACCGGTTCGTGGGATCGTTTTTCTTTTGTTCTTATGCTGGTTTTTGTTCGGTATTTTCTTTTCTCTTTTTGACTGTCTCGCCTGTACCTTCACCCCGAAAGAAGCTTGACGCCAAGTTAAACACACAATTAGCCACGGACAAAGAGAAGCGATAGGAAAAATTTGCAAAAAAAGTTTGCCGCAGAGAAAAATTTTTGTCTTTTGAATTTCGATTTCTCGTAAAGTAAGCTCTTAATGGTATAATAGTTAAAGGATGACTATATCCGTTTTAGCTGAACTCTGATGTTAAGAAACTGGATCGAATGAGAAGCACGTTTTTTTTTCTTTGTTCTTTTTTTTTAGTACGCTCACACGCGATCAACCGCTTTACCGATCACAGCCTACCCCGAAGACGAATCGAAAACGGTAACAACACGCTTCAAGATTATGGATCCTTGTACAGTAATTCGAAACAAAAAAACAAAATTACTAGAACGCTGTATACACTGTTTGAATACACAAAGTTATACCCATATATACATACAGTAAATCATCGATGAGTGTTCGAAGGCTCCTCGGCACTCAACATTAAATATTTCATAAACTAATAGCCATATTCGACTGAAACTAATACAACTGGATTCAGAATTCCACGCTCAATCACTGTGCTCTGAACCTCATTAAAAAGACAGCGTTACTCCTACCTCTCCTTGTCAATACCAAGGAGCCTACGACCACTAATCGATGATTTACTGTACGTGTATAACTCTATCGACAGTGCGTGAGCCAACATGTACAGGTACAAATAAAACAGCAACAAACTACGATGCCGCGGGTTAAATAACAAAAGTCGAAAAAAAAACAGTCCTTTCAAAGCTTCGAGTGACTGTATACCCCCCTCTCCTCGACTCTGTTCACAGAAGATGATCGCGACCAATGAAATGTACTTTGACAATAAGTCTATATATATATTGTAAATAAGTATATATATATATATATATAGACAAATTTTACACACGCGTTGTTTCTTATCTCGTTGTGAATAATACACGCGTTTTCGGCGAAAAAGACGAATTCTCGAATGAGGGCGATCGGTGAAAGGGGACGATCGTCTCGTGTAGGAGCGTACTCGAATCAGATTTATCCTGATTAGGGTAGGACCTACCAGGCAGGGGGAATCCAGCTGCAGCCGCAGCCGCTTCCTGCTGTTGCTGAGCCTGTTGCTGGGCCTGCTGCTGTCCCGGATGTAAGTGCAAGTGCGTATGCGCATGCGTATGCGCGTGAGTGTGAGCATGATACTCGGGCGAAATGCCAGCCATCTGCAACCGGACCATCGGGTCAGCAGCTAGAGCCAGTCGCTCGTCCAGCTGGCCGTGGTGATGAGCCGCAACGGGATGGCCAGCCCCTCCACCCGCTGGCCCCCCGCCGGCTGCAGTCGGTATCCCTAAACCCGACAGCGCCTCGATCAAACATACTGTTTCTCTCTCCTCTATATGTCGTACTTCTTTAAGGTACGTTTTCACGTGACAGTACCAGATAGCACATGACGTCCAATGACACCTTGAAGACGGTTCAAAGGCGCCTTAGACCTAAAATAGCCGTAAAATGGACGTCTTCAAAGCGTCTTGTGCTATCCGGGGTAATAATCGTCGTATGACTTTCCGTTGTCGCGTGACACTGTGTTTGCGAGAAATTGTAAACCGGTGTTATGGGGTGCTTTTGGAAGTTAAAGGACGGATAGATAGAAATGAATGTTGGATTGATCAGTAAAGATACGTTTTCACGTGACAGTACAAGTCATTGACTTTTGTTGTGACACTATACGACAATGAAAACTACTGTCATTAGAACGTGACATATAGTTTTCATAACGATAAAGGTCATATAAGTGTCATAATAGTTATGATTTACTATCACATGAAAATTTACCTTAAGGCTCACCTAGCAGACCTTGCGCCTTAGATATGGGGATGTTTGATAGACGATTGAAGGCGGTATACGTGGTGTCCCAAAATAATTGGAAGTCCTCGAAAAACAACTTTTTCACGAAGGATAAAAATTGTTTCAAATCACCCCTTTCAAGGAATTACAACTATTTTAGGACACCCTGTATATAGGGAAAACTCCGAAGCCTTCTGGTAACGAGTACAGGGAGTAACCGCCACAATGTCAAGGAACAACACGATATTTAGATTTGTACGACGACAAAAGTCATGGAACAATGTTTAATGTAACATGACCGTATAAAAGTCCACGATTTACCTGCCACGTGAAAACGTACCTTTAACGCTAGCCGACGACTATTATATCTTTCTCCTGACAAACGAATTTTTCTTTCTATTGCGGCACACTTCCGTTTTTCAGACACGTACGACGTTTCCGACTGGTGGCTGCGTACACTACTGAACACCATCCGTCTTCGTATATATACATATATGTATAAAAATACACGCAACAACGCGATACGCAACCAGTAGTCAGCCCGCGCTGTTCCGTATACAATCGCTCTGTCTCCTGATACCGGCTCGGGGGTCCGATGCATGGAGTACCAATACGGCGAGTGTATACAAAACGTGTCTCCGTTAACAAACAAAAAAAAAATCGTAACACGAGACTCGATCGTCCGAGAATGGATTTTTTGACGGGGTCTAACCCTTAACTGCTATTCGGTGGGGTTTTCTGGAGTTACCCCAACCACAGACGAGGTATAGGAGTAGACTAGAACTGTAACTATTCGAATGATTCGAATATTCGTAATAGCCATAGAGTAGACTTGTCACCGTACAGGACTTGGCAGCCCACCTAGTCTGTAGTACCAACACCTTAAAAATTGCAGTAACTTTTGCGTTAGGAAAACGGTAAGTCTACGTTATAAAAACGGTATGTAGCGACACTGAAATGGTAACGGAGCGTTGACTCCCAAAAAATGTGGGCCGCAAAAATACACTGAACCTTAATTCTTCTACTCCTATACCTCGTTGGTTCCCAAACAGTACATAAGAAAGTGTCATAATTTCGTTTTCTCAAGTAACAGATGACGCCAAGTGTCACAGTATAGTCTGTTGTCAGGTGAAGCCTTACAATACCCTTAATTACACATCAGACGACACCACTAGAGTTAACGTGTTTGCATGTTCCACCGTAGTAGTTAAGGGTTAATTTATCTCGTGGTGCACATTAAAGAGTACAGTGGAGCAGCGGGCAGTAACGGAGGTGCGTCTTGGCAACGGCCTGCCCTCTGGTCACAATCCTCGGCGAACAACGCATTTTATAGTTACAGTAAATCCTCGATAAGCGTTTGAAGGCTCCTCGGCACCTGAACATGAAATATATCATAAACTAACAATCACACGCGACTGAAAAAAAATATCACAGGCTTCAGAATTCCAAGCTAAAGCTCGTTAAAAAATCACCATTCCACCTGGGGTAGCCTCTCCAGTGCCGAGGAGCCTTCGAGACCACTCATCGCAGATTCACTGTACTCTGCAGCTGCAGCCAACATCCGGAAACGACCACTATCTCGCTCCTATCCCTATCGTGAGTAGTAAGGCCCTATTGCTTATAGATTCGATCACTTAGAATCGTAGTTAATCATTTCTGTGTTCATTCCGCGATGCGAGAAGAAAGATATGCATACTCGGATGGAGGGGGTGGGGAACGGTTGTATAAATGTTACCTAGTCTCTCTAAACGTTCCCTTTCCAGCTGACTCGGCCCCGGCGGCGCACCGTAAAGACCGAACTGGTGTAACGCTTGCGGCGGTCCCGAGGGTCCCGGTGCTAAACCAGCGGCGGCGTAACGACGATGTATCTCCAACCAGTGCGGATCCATCGGCGCTGGCATTGGTCTTGGGGTCCCTTTCAGAAGTTCCTCCTTCAATCGGTCGTTCAATTCCCGTTCCCGTAGCTCCCGTATCTCCCGTTCCCTCTTCTCCCGTTCCAGATGCTCCAGTTCCAGGCGTTCCCTCGCCGCTGGGCTGTACATGTAATGCAACATGGGATCCGGTGGGGCTGGATGCCTGGCCGGCGAGAACGCCGCGTGGGGCCTTGCGTACTCGGACAACTGTCTCAATGCCGGGGTATCTGCGTACGAACCGGGCCTGGCCGCGTACCTGTCGTACGGTGACACTACAGGTTCGAGGGGTCCTCTACTGGGCGGTTTACAGGTCTCCGGTTGCTTCTCCGGCGTGGTCATCTTTCTCGCTTGCTGGGCGGCCGCCCGGTCACGTTCCTCCCGTTCCCGTTCCGCCTGTTTCCTCGAGCGTTCCTCTCGTTTCCTGGCCAACTTCGAGTCCGGTACCGGTTTGAACATCAGATCGGTTCTGGTGCAGGAATTGTTTTCACCTCTGTTCCAGTGTCGCAGGAAGATTGCCGACTGCGATCTATGGCATTCCGAGTCCTCGATTCGCGGCTCCGGCGACGGCCCTCGAGGACTAGGCGGTTCCTCCTGATCTTGCTCGACCAGATCGGGCTCTATCTTCGGTTCCGGGGCGAGAACCTGCGGTTGCGGTTGCGGTGGCCTGTGATGATGATGAGCCGAGCTGCTGGACGTCAAACACGTCGCGGAGACCAACGACGGTTTACGTTGAGTATTGTGCGAACTATGGGACGACGAGTGACTGTGGGAACTATGGGACGAGATGGTCAATAGCTTGTCGTGGTGTAACGCTGTCGCTTGGTGCATACTCGACGAGTGATGATGCGTCGCGATAAGATTCTCCCCTTCCTCTCTGGTGGTCACGCTCGAACTGGTGCTGGAGTGATGCGCGGTCATCATGGTGGTGCTCTCTTGACTTCGCTGCGGCGACGGCGGTGGTATCGCGTGGGGCACTGGACCGTACGGATACGGCGGGAACGATGGGTATCCACTCACAGGAGCGTATCCTGGATAGGCGTGCGGATGATACGGATGCATCGCGGTAAACAGTGAGTGATGCATCAGAGGATGATGCGGATGGAACGGATGCGCCATATGAGGGCTTGGCTGTTGCGCCGGATGCATCACCGGTTGTGGAATAGACGTTGGCGGCGGCGGTAGCGACGGGGTCGGGGACGCGGCCACCGATTGTATCTGCGGCACCTGTTGATTGCTAGTCATCGAGTGTTTACTAGGCGTGGGCGGTTTACTGGAACTGTCCGGATCTTTTTTAATGTTCTCCAAACTGGGTCCCGGAAAGCCGGACTGGAAGCCAGGTACTTTCACCTCTTTCAAGCTCTGCAGCGGATCCGGTTCCGGCGGTATGATCTCCTGTTTGATCTTCAAATTCTGCGGCTCCATCGGCGGTGTACCCGCCAGATTGTACATGGAGGACGGTTTCTCCATGGACATCATTCCGGTCGGCTGAATCGGCTGGAACAAATTACTCTGCTCGTTCCGGTCCGACTCGATGTTCTCCTGTCGTTCTTGGATCCGATCGGGTATTCTGTCCGGTATCCTGCTGTCGCGCATTCGTTCCGGAGCCAAACGATCGTCGGCCATCCGTTCGGACATCCTGTTGTCCGACGACATCACGGTCAAACCCAATGGTTGCGGTGAGCTAGGCATCTGCGGCATCTGCGTCATATTCGTTGGTATACTCTGTGATATATTTAAATTCAACGGCGGTCCCGGCATACTTTGCGGCATACTCTGCGGGTTCGACAGGTTCTCGGCGTGACCACGAAGATTCGCCGTTGGTCCCATGGTTTGCGCGTTCGACATGTTCTGCGGCATGCCGGGCGGCATCTGCATGCTCTGCGACAGATTCTGCGGTACATTCTGCACGGGCGTCACCGCGGACGTGTACTGCATGTTCAACGGTAGACCTTGCTGCGTCGGCGACATGATCTGTGAGCTCTGTATACTCTGCGAGCCGGTCGACGTACAGATACCGGTGTTCTGTATCGTTTGAGAGAGATTCCGGGGCATCGTTTGACCCATATCGTTCATGCTCAACGGCTGCGACGTGCTCAGATTGAGCTGCTGCTGCTGCTCGGGTTCCTTCATGTCCTCGTTAGACGGCGACATCGGTGATTCGATAATCGGCAACGGTTCCAACTTCAACGGCTGATTCATAGCTAACGGTACATCTTCTATTTGATCCTTCGTCTCGACCGGTTCATCCAACAACGGCTTCTTGTCCAAGGTGTGAATAACAGGAACGGATATCGGCAATGTTTGTATCGGCGGCGGGACAGGCGTAGACACTGGCGTCGGTTCCGACGGTTCCTCCGGCGTGGTAACAGCAGGACTCACGGGCTCCTCGGTCGGCACTGTGACCGGCGTTGGTTGATTCTCGTTTGTATCCCCTTCTCCCTCTCTTTCAGGCTCATCCATGAGAGAATTGCTATCGGTCGTGAGCGACTCGGAGGGACTCTCAGGACGTTCGCCGCGTTTACGTTTCTGAGACTCCTTGTCCTCGTCCGCGTCATCCGTTTGGGGCCGTTTCTGACCTTTCTTCGGCGTTTCTGGCTTACTGGAGGACTTCTTTTTACTTTTATCCGGTGTCTGTTGTTGTTGTTGTTGTTGTTGTTGTTGTTGTTGTTGCTGCTGTTGCTTCTCTTGATCAGGAGTATCCGTTCCACCTGTACGTCGAGGTCTTGCAGGTCTAGGCGTTTCCTTGGCCTTGTTTCTTGTACGCATTCTCCCTGGGCTATCTGGTGATTCCGCGGGCACCGGGCGGAAGAGATACGGAGGTGCGGGCGGTAGTTCTCCGGTCTTCTTCAAATGTATTCTGCATTCCGTACAGAGCAACAGCCTGTCCTTTCCAGCTACCTGATAGTCCTTCGAGTTCGTCGAGAAACAATGCTGACAGGAATGGGTCGCTCCGTTTGTATTCGTGTCCCGGGAATCGCTGTCCTCCTCCGAATTATCGTCCTCCGTCACAGAACTAATTTCGCCGCCGGGATTATTGCTGGCTGGTGTACCAACGGGCACGGTTTCCGGTTCTGAGATCGGCTCCTTCTGACTGACACTGGCCGGCGGTGTATCCTTGGGCGGCGTTGGGACTTCCTCTTTGGGCGTGCCTGCTCTCGAGTTACGTGTATTCCGAATCCTTCTGAGCGATCCCTGTCGTCGTCTCCTGTGCGGTCGATTATTGTTCGCGCCTGGCGTTTTCTTCCACAGATAATAGAACTCGACCAACTCCGGCTAAGAAGAAAAAGAATAAAGAAAAACAGTCCTCGATATAATATTCCACCAATCACCGATCTACGACTACTTTCTTTGTACATATGTATATACGTGGACGTTCATTTACCGTGTCTTTGTGGGGCAAAAGATCCTTTCTGATTCTCGAAAAGTTCTTTCCAAATTGCCGAAGCCCTTTGACAAACCGTTTCTACGAGACAGAACGGCGACGGATTAATCGTGAATCCCCCACCACAGGGGTAATCGTCTTAATACAAAATAATTTACAAAAATTCAACGGTGTAACGGTACACAAAACGCATACGGAATGAATCAACGCGCGATCACAACGGATCTCGACAGCAGATGAGAGAGTTTCGAATTTGTAATTTTGTATTTTTGTTATCACGGCTCCACTTACAGTTTCCTCTTCGGACCATTTTTTATCGATGCCTTTCGGTACGGGACATTTAACAATGCTCTTCCTGGATCATAGCCAGAGTCGTGCAATATGTCCAGGGCATTGATAGTCGTGTCGTCTCGGGATGCAGCCACACAACCGTCGTCCGGGGATCCTCCGTCACACATGCCAGCGAACGCAGCCATGGATCGTGCTGCCCTCAGGTACATCAGAAGATCCCCGTCCAATGCCATAGCTGGAATCCATCTTAGCTCTTCTCGTTCTTTCGAAAACTCTGGATCAGGAAGCAGCTCTCCGGGAGGTATACCCGGCCGATACTCAGGCAAACGGGCCTGACAAGAAACCAACTCCTGTACCCAAACATTCGGGGTTGTGCGTGGTTAGGAACCAATGCCAAAAAAGCGAGTTAGTTTTGTACGCACCTATACTCCGGCTTGCTTTTTTCGAGAAATCTACACGAGCCAGTACAATATTATTTCCCATTCTGTTCCTTTTGTTACACATTTACTGGCACGAGAAGAGTAGCTTGAGAGCACTTTAATGTGTTTTTTTTTTTTTTTTGTTTGTGTACAAACTAATGATCATAAATATAAGCATGAGAAACGAGAATTCAAGAACAAATGTACGATTATTATTACTATTATACACCATGTTATTTGGCTTTACATTTAATAACATTAGTTATGTTCACGTTCACGATAAAAGCTATGTATGGCTAAAGTTAATGTAGCGAACAAAAGCACATTCACGTATATATGTATTGTTTTTTTTTTTTTTTAAGGGAATGAATAAACGCGTACGATGAAAATGACAATGAACGGACAGCAGAAAAGTCACAATGTTTCACAAACGGACAAAAGAAATTTACATGATATTTACAGGATTGGAAATAGAGAACACATTTACACACAGAGTATGACGATAGAGAAATACAGAGACGTGTCTTTCAGGTATCTGTATATGTTTATATTACGGTTCCAGTACTTCAGTCGCAACATTATATATACTCATAGATGGTTCAAGTAACCAATGGGTTATCGTATGTATGTATATATATAATTCTGTTTGCAGAGCAATGATGTTTCTGCAATTTCACCGTGACTGAATACCACTATAAACACGAAAAACAATCTTATACACTGCAATAGTACTGCCCTACAATATATACTGTTATAAAAATCTTTCATCATAATAACTCGCATCATATCCAGGGTCTTTCAAGGTAGTAATTATCTGAGGCATGGTACTTCGGCTTTGGGATCGTTCATGTTAAATACACAAGAGTGATTATAGTATCGGCTTAAAGAATAACTATCATTGTTATTTGAACCATCGACGTACAACAGAATTGATCAGAGAAATAGGTATGCGCCTGCTCTTTGCTATTCGAGGCTACAACTCCTCTCCCAACATGTACAAATACAGGCAGATATCACAAGGTTTTCTAACTGAATTAATGAAAACAAAGATTCTGTGAATGTGAAGTTGAAACGATAAAGAAACAATGATGTCTCGATTGCTCTAAACCTGTAACTAGATACACGCCATGCATGTTTCCAATAATCCTTGAAAATAACAGAACATCTACATTACCCAGATTGTATGTACGTAACATATTGCCCAGGCATATCCGTATTTCGATTTTCAACCGACAGGTACACGAACTGAGCGACTAAATATAATTGTCTCAATATGAATGAAAACTAATATACATGTAATAGTCTTCTATCGAAATCAAATGTTAATCTTTCCAGCAAATGTTTCTTAAACAGTCTTTAATCCCTTCGACCTGGTGGACGTATACCGTACGAAAATTCTGTCTATTCTAGTTTTACATTTGCAATTCGTAAAATTCTTACTATCGCTGAGCTCGGTCATCCGTTTAGAAGACGAAGAAAAGTGTTTGTCTGAAGTTTGTTCTACATACAAATCGAACTTCAGTCTTGGCAATCAAGGTATAACAATCTTATTTTTCATTCCGGATATAACAGAGGAAACCGCATCTTAAAATAGTCATTCATTAATAGTCACATCGGAACGTTAAACGTTCGATTTCAGGTCGGAGGAATTAACGTGTTTTGTTTCATATGAATCCATATATGACGACAGTACTCATACATTACCATAAACGTTCATAGTAAATCTACAGGCAATATACAGTTTTAAACATCTTTGTCATATGTAAAGTTGTTTAAAACTCAAACAACAATATATATACATACCTATCGATTTGAAACAATACACGAATCACTCGATTACTTTATTATCCCAATTCTCATTATTTATGAAACAAACAGGTACATGTGGACTAGAAGTGAATTACCACAGAGAATATTAGGTAACACACAACAACATTAGGTCACAGTTACCCGATGGGTCTGTGACTGTATCTCTGCCTTAAACTATTACACTCGAAATACATGTCTTAGGAGAACAAGCCTTGAGTTAGGTACATTGTGCAATATAGCTAAGTAGCAAAAAGGTTTTCAAGGTATATGGCAAACCTGGTGCGAAGGGCCAACCCGAATCTCGCCCTGGGTGCCGGCAGACATCTCCCCCTCCTCCAATGCTCCACCGTCTTTCTCCAGTGTTTTGAGTGGCTTCTATCTTGGACTTTCAGTAAATTTCTATCATCCACCCCCTGAACTGTGTATAGTTATTCTATCAGTACATTTGTAATAATTTCATAAAATCATACTGCTAACATGCTTCTTTTCTTAATGACCCCTTTTTCAACAATGATGTCAGTTATTATGACACTAGTTTTCACACAACTTAATCACATAGATAGAAGAATAATGAGGCAGATACTTTAGATTCTTTATGCTCCTATTGCTATGCATATTTCTTATGACCTCAGATGATGCAATAGAATACTATCGAAACATCTATGGTATGAAATTTATACTAATTAACACACTATCGGCCGGCGACTATCCTCGCAAACCGTTGCCTACGACCGGCGTCATTGTTTCCCACTTTGGGCAAGATTTTTCCAAAAGTATCATCGTATATTTATAATTCCGTGTAATGTTTCAAACTTCCAATAAAGTCCCGAAAATTCATGTGGCATCCGTGTTTATGAAAATTTCAGTTATAGACAAACTATTTGCATGTCCGAAACGTCTATTTTTAGACGAGCGGCCGTTTACGGAAGTTTTCACAACAACTAATTTTAGTCGACCGCCCGATAGTGCGTTAAGTAATACAGAATACCGTTCTCGTTCGATCATGGAAAATTATTGGCATTCGTATCTTCGATACGGATTAACAGTACGTCGATAAAATACGACTAACCGAAGAATCGCATGAATTGTAGGAAAAAGACGCTTATTCGACCTTGCATACTTGTAGAATTCATTAAGGCAACTCAACATTCGTGTAACAATCCATTGAAATACATTCGTGGATACATATTTTCTACTTTCTTGAAGTGGTCTTGAGTCACGGTGAAAGCGGAAAACGGCATAAATGAGCTTTACTCAAATCGGAAACGCTTTATCGTCGGTGTAACACAACCGAAGCGTGCCAAGATGCGACGGACGTCATAAGAAAACTTTGATTGACTCATCGGTGTGCAACCCGCGAAGAAGATGTACAGGAACGAAAAGTACAGGTATTTACACAATTTCGTCATGTACGCAGAAAACTCGAAACGAGATGTGTGCGTGCGCGGAATCATGAACGGGACGTGCAAGTTTATCGAATTATTTGTATCTTTGTCGCGAATGATACGCTCGTGTTTTTGCTCGCATCGCGGATCGCGCTTCGAAAGAATTCTGGGGAGCCGTTAAAATAATGTCGAAAGCCATAAAATTTCAAGGCAAACTCACCCGTGATAAATTGTTTCAACGACGTGCACGCATTGTTCCTCCCAACGTGGCTCGCTTTCACATGTACGCGTTACACACGAACCCGATTACACCACCGATCGATGACCGATACAACCTTAACGATTCACTATAAATTAACCATCGGGAGCAGTGCACGATTATATCTTACACGAATCAGTAGCCACAACACCCAAACGCAGCCATCTTGTACTGCGTTTTGTTTCGTTTTTCTTTTGTGGGGGTGCGTTCCGATTCCGAGCATTCCTCCGTTTCTTTCCCGTCATCGATGGATTACTGGTGGCAATTCAAATTTCGGAAATTCACACTTCACGCTTACCATTCCTTTCCAGTATTGAAACATTTTTAATTGTTCAAAATCTATCGTTTCAGAATGTACACAAAAAGAACTATGTAACAATTTCAGATATAGGAACAGAAAAGAATCGAAACTTGGGTTGGAAATATTTCATGCGAGAGTTGCTTTGGTTGAATTGCGAAAAGAATTTCTTCGACCCAGATCGGTTTTATCTTATTCACAAGTAGAGAACGCAAAGAAAAATTGATTGTTACCTTAAATTACGATTGTAACCGTTGACTTCGATCACTTGAATCCGGATGCTCACAACTTATGCATATATCCTCTTGTCCTCTCATCTCATAGCGGTATTCATGTTTGTGCTGTACCGTAAACTTCCATGTTTTGCGCAGTCAGTTTATAGAATTCCGGTTTTCCAAGTAAACGCAAAATATACAGTAGACATGGCGAAGAAAACGGCTATTTTGTTGATTGCTGACGGGTCGGAAGAAATGGAAGCAGTAATCACGACAGATATTTTACGTCGAGCCGGAGTATGTTCTCTACGATACGTAACCTCACATTATATTTGTGCGTTCAATTCGAACGCAAATTGTTCTCGTTGAATATTACTCTAAATTCTTACCATGTTTGACATATATCAATTAAATTGTTTGTAGATCGATGTTACTGTAGCTGGTCTCGCCGAAAAAGAAAGCGTAAAATGTAGCCGTGACGTTAAAATTTGCGTTGATGCAAAATTGAAAGACGCAGTTCAACAAAAATACGATGTCGTAATATTACCCGGTGGTCTAGGTGGCTCGGAAGCTTTTGCATCGGTAAGTGGGCCGAGATTTATAAAAAAGAAAGAAGTAATTTGTAAGTTTATTGTTATATGTTGTTAGTCTGCAGAGGTAGGGAACCTGCTGCAACAACAGGAAAAGGAAAACAGAGTTATTGCTGCTATTTGTGCAGCACCAGTGGCATTAAAAGCACATGGTATTTCTAAAGGAAAACAGCTCACATCTTACCCATCAATGAAAGAGAAATTGGTAGATGAATACAAATATTTGGAAGATAAAGTTGTAACTGATGGTACAGACTAATTTATTAAATCTTATTCTGTTTTAAACATGCAATTATAACAATTATACAATGCATATGGCTATATTTTAGGTAATCTCATAACTAGCAGAGGCCCGGCAACTGCTTTTGCTTTTGGTTTGGCAATTGTGGAAAAGTTACTTGATAAGGAAACTGCGAACAATGTGGCAAAAGGAATGTTATACACAGAGTAAAAAATATAAAGTTTATAAGTACCCTGTATATGAAATGTACTGTTACACATAGTGTATCTTTATACTTGTATGATTGTATTTAAATTGGATGAATAATACGCATTTTGCATAATACACTGGCATTCAGTTACCCTTCTCTAGAGCAAGAAAGTGGAAAGCACATAGTGTAAAATACGATTACGTTTTTTTCTAACAGTATCATATTCTTGGTTACATCTTTTGAAACAATACTGTGCATAAACAATTGTAATACGTTACGTTTTCAATTAAGACTTTTGTTGCAATGCAGCGGGCGTTTAAAATGCTTGATGGCGCCATCTCGTGATAGGAACACAGTACTAATTAGCTAATAGCTTGGAGGATTTGCCGTTGATGGCGCCACGTATATTATTCTGACTTGAATTAAATCACGGATAGGATCTTTGATAAATTTATATACAATGCAAAGAATTAAAGTACAATATTATTCGCGTGTATCTCTATTTTTATAATAAAATCATTCCCCTCTAACATTTCTTATGCGAGTATACTGTATAATCAAAAAACACCATACTAACAATCGTTTATACACAGATTCAATGAATCAAACAATTCGAACGCGTTGGACGAAATGTAAAATGATCAGAATGGAGTAAACAACTATTTATTTTGATCTTCGATGTATGTATGTAAATAGAATATTTCATTGTGTATTTTTCTAAAATTTTGTACTTGTAAATGCTCAAAACTTTTATGGTTTACTGATGATTGGACTCTCTATCTGCATAAATGTTTTCCCGACGAATCTTCTTCTCTACTTACATTGTCAATGATTCAATTATTTGACATTTTACGAGTATCAAAACAAAATGTAACCACGTTTACTGGAACATTTTCAGATTATGGTGTTTCTTGCGTAATAAAAAGCGATTGTTCGGAAACCGCAAGTTACAGGTGATAAGACTTTAATATCTATTTAAATAAACAGAAAATGTTTGAAAGCGACGATTGGGATCTGGATCAGGTAAGCTCGAAATGAGTGTTTTTCACAAGAAATGTCGATTAAATGTTTCAATAATAATAATTCTATTATTAGTTGGTATTGTTGAATTAATACATAAATCGAAAGCAAGTGCCGGTCGTTAAAAAGCCAATTGCGAAAGGAATTTTTATATTAATGTTCAATATTTATTTTTAGGATTTCTTAAATGATGTGGACAAGAAATCGCATACTGTCTGTTTTGCAACAGATAGGGATGAAGTTGAGCTGAAGAGACGTAAAATAGAAGTTTCTAATCATTCTGTTTTTTCGTCCAACACTGATGTGGACCGGTGTGAACAAAAATCTATTAACACAGCTACAACACAATGCATTGATAAAACATCGAGGAAAAATTTAATTCTTGGCATGTTTAACAAGAATTTGTCGAACAGTAATGTTTCTCAAAAGTCACCTAGAGACAACATGGTACAATCTGAATCAAACATGATAAAAAGCTCTAATAATAGTCAATTACCTAGGAAAAATTTAGTGCTTGAAATACTGAAAAAGAAGAGTACAGATGGTACAGTTATAGAAAATAATACAAAAAATTTGGTCCCAAGAAATACTGAATTAAAAGCTAAGAGCAATAGCAACACTCATATACAGGAACAAGAATCTTCTAAAGTAAAGCATCAACCGCCTAATAAAAATGCCCAAAGAAAAAGTGATTTGAACAATGATATCCTTAAGCGAGGTTCGTATGAAAATTCAAGGAAACAGTTGTTGGTTAATTTACTGAAGCAGCATTCTATGAATATTATGGAACACAAGAATAAGTCCGTCATGAAAGCACCACAAGCGCAATCTAATAAAAAAATGACACTGGTCAGAAGATTTCCTGGACCAGCTGGTTTACTACCAGATGGCATAGAGGCTAGTGTTCTTCCTATTTCATACCTAAATAGTTTAGACGAAAGCGAGGAGACAAAGGAATCGAATGAAGCCGATTTGCCCGAATATTGCTCTCAAAATACAAAGGATCTGTTTACAGAAGGGGCTTGGCAATTGATGTTAGACGATTTACCAAATGATTTTTTGAAAGGTTACGAAATTGCTACAGTTAAACAGATGGCAAATACAAACGGTTACAATTGTACAAAGATTGATTTTTTAGCAGGGGTAGTAGAACGTATAGATAATAGTCATGAAAATCCCCCCATTGTTCTGAAGGATTTTACAGACAGCATTCAAGGAATTGTACATAGAGATATACCACTTAAATATCCTGGTTTACTGGAGTCAAATGTTGTTATATTATTACACGATGTAGGTTTATTAAAGACCTCTAAGTCCCTTGTCTCCAATAGATATCATATTCTAATTTCACCTTCGAGCTTGTTAGCCATTTATTCTAGCAAAGGTAAAATAGAGCGTACGCGTTACATGGAATCAATCTTGGGAAACGTTTCGAACGGAGAAATGGAGCCAGACGCAACAAGGGAAGATCGAGTTTTTTCAAAAATTTTAGTAAAAGAATCGCAGAAAGTTCTGAATGACTCTCATAAAAAAATATCAAAGTTTGGAAGCTCGATTGAAACATTCGGAAATGAATCAATAGGTATTGATCTGACAGAAGAGTTTTCCTTTTCAGTTCCTTCCAACGAAATTACAGATAAGCAAAATACGACGAATTTCGTTTGTTCAGCGTCAACAAGTCTGAGGGATACAAAGAAAGAAGATAAACAACGACAAAGTAATTGTACAGAAAAATCGAAAAACTTGGTGGACAGTTTAAAGAGATTTTCTCATGTGAGTACCAGTGAAAAGTTTTCGCGTAATTCAAGAAGTTCACGAATGGATATGGAACATCCGGTGTCTACGAGTACACGCACGGAAGAAGCGACATCAGAAATGTTATGCGATAATCCTACTGAAAAGATGGACATAGACGAGGAGGATATAAATCGATGTCCGAAAGAAACAGAATCGGAGAAAAACGGATTGTATAGATCTTGTTTCGGAAGCGCAGAGAAGACCAAACTTCCTGTACGATCAAAATTAATGAAATTCAAAAATGCGGACGTATTAACGCCGCCTCGATCGTCCGAATCTAATCCTTCGTTAGATTCAAACAACGACAATGACATAGATGGACAGAAGAAATCATCTGAGAATCCTAATTCGGTGTTAGAGATACTTTGTGCCGCTGAAAATGATTCTGACGATGAAATGTTGTCCCAGATAGACATGGACAGTATTTTGACTAATTACAATAACAAGGATTAGGTATCACTAGAGTCTTTTTAGCCGCACGAGAATCGCAGATAATGTAGACAAACATTGGATCGTACTTTATTAAGCCGTGAGGACCTAAAAGTTTTTTTTTTTTTCGAACCCACATCAAGCAGAATAGATGTTCTTCCAAAATTCAATTGATTTATGTAAATATACCTACACTTTCTATATTTCCACATTTGTACAAAGTATGCGCGAATAAAATGAAATATTTATAGATTGTTCGTAAAAACTTCTATTTGTTTGGTAGTTCCAGTATATAATCTATATAGCAATAAGTTGGAAGAAATTATATTATATTGTATCGTTCACTGGTACGTGTTCATTTACTGGTGCATCCACCCTATCTACCGGCGGTTGTCGCCCCAGATCGACAAACACCTTAATTCGTATTACGATTATTAACCTCGGAATAGTACTGTACAGACTCCTCTCGATTATCGTCTGGCTTATTCTACACGATTATTATCCAGGCGTTATCCCCACTACTGAGGAGGGGGGCGTGGAATCTGGAAAGTGCATACTTTGTTGTCCCTCCGCTTTTGTTAAAAAACGAATTTATGAGGGTCTGAAGCATTTCTCCCTATATGATTATTGTCCCGGCGCGGACCCAATCCTGCTGACATTAGCCTGGATATCAGCCCTCGTCGATCGCGAGCATTGAATTAAATCATCCCGAATTCGTCGGTGAAGTCTCTGGGTGTATCTGTGGACCGCGTGTACGCCAATGCGAATCTATTGGATTAACCTTGATATACCCTGATATCCTATGATACATCTAGGCGCACGAACGCGCGATTATGAAGTGCAATTTACTCGCGTTAGTTACGTGAGACAGCGTCACGGCAAAATTGCACGATATATAGGAATGCGTGTGAAAACAGGTAAATCGGAACAATCGCGTGTGATTCGAGTGAACGCCTCGAGATTTCAAGCTGAATAGTATAATATATATACACCGTTCTTTTCACGCACGAACAAGTCGACCATCGATTACGGTTCCTTCGGTGTAAAAAAGAACAAAAAAGGAAAGGAAATTTCCTCCAATGTTGTCATTGACGTCGTGAAATAAATTATATTCTCATTATGCAACTGCATACGATCACGACACGATCGGTGTGTGTATCGATGGAATCTGAAACATCGTGGTGAAATTTCTATTCGTTCGATAGAGTAGAATTTCTGGGAATACAATATTGGACAAAGCGTGTTTCTTTGTTTTCCACGGCGCTTCGTCTAATCTGCACTCCTTAGTTAAAATGTCTTATCTAACAAATTAGCGTTCGTCAAGATTTTTCGATTAATGTTTGCAGCCCCATGTTCTTTTCATATTTTCGTCGAAGCTGGAATACCCTGTGTGCTTTTTAGGGCTCTGGAAACAGTCTAATTGATTTGTCCTATCTACTAACTTAGATAGTCCTTATGTTTATGCCTCGATTATTTATGTCCAAGAACGTGTAAAAAACACAAAATACATGTGATTCAAAACCCTTTTTTTCTACATTAAAATATTCTACGATGAAAAACAAAGACACAAAGAAAATTATAAAACCTCATTTTCCTCGGATGTCTGAATACATCGGTTAGGACAATTGCGCTGAAGAAGGCAGTAATACAAAAATGCCCATATGCCCTTTTCATCGGTCCATTGTTTGTTGCTCGAGGTGCGTCAAAATAAATATCATTCACTGTTCGACGAGCGTATTACGTAAATCGTTTTCGTATATATTTTTTTCTCTCTCCTTCATTTCCTTTCTTCTTCCGTCTTTCCCTGAAACATAAATTGCGCCACACAGAAAGTTAAAATGTCAGTTGATAAGCCGGCGGGCCGATTAACCGGCAGAGACACGGCAACAAATCTCCCGGAGATGGTCAACGACGCAAACAAGGTAATATACGAAGAGACATCGTGTATACACCTGTACACACGAAAATCCTTGTGTCTTTAAAATACATGAAAGTTCGAAGGTGAATAGAAGCCTGTTGCAATCGGAAACGGGACGACAGATTCGAATGTTGGAAACGTCGTTGCTACAGCGCCGTGAAGTGGAAACGAAGCTTAAAGAGTCGAATTAGATTTCGAGCAACGGGTTTGATAATAAATTCACGAAATCTACGATTTGTTTTGCAGATTATACGAGTGTATACAATTGGCAATAATGGAGCATAATAGACTGTGCGTCTCGAGATAAGGGAAACCGCGACGTGAAATTCTTTGCCGGCTACTCACGAACAAAACACATAACACTGTTATCGGGCATTTTCACGATCGGTTTTCGCGCATCTGTTTATCGCGGCTCGCGACTAATAACCCTCGAGATATTATTCCCTTCGTCTCTATTTCACTGCCAATCAGATCGCAGAATAAAAAAACGGTTGGGTCATGCGGTGACTCATCCGCGTCTCACAACGAAAAAACATATTCGTAAGATGGCGTTAAACTGGATTAAACACGAATCATAGACGTGAATAAGATGCGTAAACTGTATACCGGTTCAATTAGCCGACGTACCAAACGGGAAGTTAAATATACGTTTAGTCGCGTCTATACCAGTTTGTCTTCCGAACAAGGACACGATTTTCGGCAGCAGGTTGCTTTACTTAACTAAACGTACTAAACTACATTTGTACGTTTACTCTCAAATCTATCCGCGATGAAATGTTTCATTTCAATCCTGAAACGTTAATCAATGTCACGACGCCTTGCCGACACCCATTTTACGACTATTTTAGGTCTAAGGCGCCTTTAAGTCGTCTTCAAGGCGTCATGTGCTATTTGAGTGTTGAAAAGAGCACGCGAAGCAATTCGACTCGGCGATCGCCTAATAAGTCTGGACTGTCATCATTATCTGAGAAGTCTTAATTGCAAGAGAAAAATATGTCGATCCTACGAGTGCTTTGTAAGCCCCTATGACAGGCGAAATGCCACGGGGATATTCGCCGGATAAACTTGAAGATAGCAAACTGTCAAAATAGAATTTATCATCCGCGTGCCCCTTGTCCAAAAGGAACCATCCATTTCGAACTAACAATTCTAATCGAGAAACTATTATTCGTGATCATATTGCGTGTTTTGATTTCTTCCAGAAAAGATGCTATCGATGTAATTGCAGGCAACGATGGGACAAGAATAAGGTCGGTCGCAATTAAAACAAAGAGGCAAATAAGTGACAGGTATTAAAGGTGAATTGCGCAACAGGAACAAAGTGTAACAATGTGTCTGTATTTCGTGAAACGCGATTGGTGTGTTAAAGAAGAAAAAAACGATCGCCGGTCGCACGTGAACAGTTACGCGAAATTTTCATTAACGGACGATCGCTAACTCGTGTCGCCGTAGAGGCTTGTCGAAGCAGATACCATATGTAATTTGCGTGACTGCTATCGTAATTCTTCCTTCTCTTACCGGGAAACATTGCAAAACCGCGAAAGGATCATCGGCAAACATCATCCGCACCGCTATCCAGACACAAACACACATTATTTTATATCCACGAACGCGTATTACTTTCTTGCGCACTTAGTATAATTTCCATTCGAATCCTCCTCCATTTAATTGCATTCATCCTTCTCCCTCTCTCTACCGTTTCACGAGTCCACACCGTGAGGCTAATCTCGGTCGCGAGAAAGCTTGCGATTCTCTTTTTCCTTGTGCTTGTTCGTTTATCCTAGGAACAACATTCCGTTCTCCCTTTCGATGCACACAACCTCTCCACGGGAAAACCACCGAGGAGTCAAAGACTACGGGGTCTACATATCGCGTTCTGTAGTGGTTCCCCCGTGTAACACGTTGTAACGAACGAAGTCGCGGAGGAGTCGTCGCACGACCGTTCAACGAGGGTCATACACGAAGGTGTAACCTCTACGCGTGGTGTGTAAATATCCCCGAATTATATCCGTTCGTATATTAATTGTGACCACCCCCCCTGGTGTGCTTTCGGGGAAATCGGTCGCGACGCCTGTGACGTCAGTCACGTTTCGGCGTGGAAAAGGTAGGTAAACAGACACCGGGACTGCGCGATCTATCGGTAACTCCGTATCCGCCGCCGGGAAAAGTGAACGATTCGTCGATAGCAGGATAGATACGGGCTCGCGAGAGAGAGAGATAGATAGAGGAGGGGGTAAATTCGTGCATCAAAGTTCAGGAACGATACAGAATGGTGTGCAGTGTAGGCCGGTGCGCGGCGCGTAACAGGTGATTGTCATAATATATGGTGCATTAGGAAATTTACGTATGTATCGTTACATACATTGAAACGGCAGAATTTCCGTGGGTACATATATCAACGGAATTTTCGGAAGCTTGTTTAATATTCACGGTCTGTCCTTTCGGTAGCCAACTTTCGATTCGAAGCGTTCTCGACCTTGTTCATAATACGCGCGTCCCGCGACACAGTTAAACGGGTACTTACCGCGACGTACCCCTTCGTCCGTACAATTTCAGTTTCTTTTTTCTTTCTTTTTTTTTTTGCGTACAATTAGCTCGGAAACGCTTAAACGCATTTAATTCCTGTTTCCGTGATCTTTACCTTGAGTCGGTAATTTTCGACCGTTCTCCCGCCAATTTACGCCACTCTCGCAGTCAACTGGGAACGTAATACAATTGTACTATCAGCGTGGTTGTAGGTAGATACACACATATATTTAGTACAGTGCATCGACAAAAAAAACGATTCCTGCGAGTTTTCCCGCCGAGGAAACGGCAAGCGTCGAAAATTGCCGGAAAACAAGCTCACTGGGAATGCACGGATTCGTGTGGGTACATCGGACGACATCATCACCGTGAAAATCAAGGAATCGGACTAAGAAAAGGCTTTGCAAAAGTTCGCGTAAGTTTGCTTTGCTATTTCCTTTAAACGCGAAACTCGCGTTTTTCTTTCTTTTTTCATAAAAATGGGATTTGTTATCTTAACCTTTAATTATGTGTAATTCTCATGTAATATTAAATAGCCTTCGTGCGGTATCTAATTGCGACGAAGAAATTTGTTCTCAACATTCTTCTCCGAAGGACGATACGAGGACAATATTATTAAATTCTTCTATCGTTGTTTCGCAAGTTCCAATGGGAAAAGAAGGAATAGCTACAATCGAATATGATTTT